TCCCCCGGTTGTCACGAACCTGTTAGTGAAGCAGCTGCAGGCCGCCGCCNCAGGTCAGGACCACTCGGCTCGCCTGGAGCAGATTGCGGCCGTCATTGTGTCTCGAGTAGGCTCCAAGACTTGGCAATCGTATGCGTCTCATTTCGCGGCATTCGTGCGTTTCTGCGTCAGTGAAGACCTTGAGTTCTTGCCGGCGTCCCGGTATACCGGGTTGTTGTGGGCACAGTACCTGGCTGCCCGTGGTTCTGTTCGGGCTCGCACCGCGCAGCCCTACTTCAGCGCGGTTAATACAGTGCACGTTTTGTTAGGGCTGGCTAAGCCGTGTGATGGGGATAATGTGCTGTTGTCGGCGTTCCGTAAGGGCTGGGAGCGGCTGCAGGTCTCACTGGCCCCTACCTCGTCCCTTGTCCTCGCCTTCAGTGCTTCGGACGCCTGGAGGCTATACGACCGGCTCCCGTCCGTCCCGGTTGCGTCGGATTTGTTTGTCCCTCTTTTGTTCGTCGTCCTTGGCTTCTGTCTATTTTTGCGTCCCGACTCCTTGCTGTCTGTCGTCTGGGCGCGGGTTTCGGTTGTTGATGAGGAGCCTGTGTTTCAGTACAAGCCTTTGCACTGGAAAGGCCGTATTACAGCCCCTGAGTTGGCCCCGGTGTTGCAGTTCCCGCTGGGGGGCCTCCCGTTTCTCCGGGTTGCCCTCCTGCAGAAGCTGTCCCGGGACCCTGCGCGTTTATGGCCGGAGCGCCAGACGACTCAGGGGGCCGAGCGTTGGTTCGATCGTGTTTTGGCGCAGTGTGGCCTGGAGGGCCTTCGTTCCGTCCACACCCTTTATAGTTGCGGCGGGGTGGTGCCTCGGCCGCCCGTGCGGCGGGAGTGCCACTGGATATCATCGAAGCATTTGGTGGCTGGGCCGCAGGCTCGTCGGCGTTGCGGGAGAACTACCTCGATTTGGGGGTCCGTGGCTGCCCTCGTGCGGTCGCCTTCTTTGGCCCTCTCGCGGCCCGGCGTGTCGCGCCGGTGATGGGTCAGTACTTTAACCGCTGAGAGGGGGTGTCTTTCCTTTTGGCAATAGACTCGTAGCAGGAGCTAATGCGGGCTATGCGAAGCTTGAGCCGGGTTAGCTAAGGCGTAGGGCCTTACGGCCGTTTTAAGTGGTACGACTTGAGGCCGGCGATCCGTGTCCTCAGGATCGTCTTTTGCATAAATAGCGCGTGTTGCAGGTTTTCTGTATCTTGTTTTTGTTGTTCAGCACGCGCCCCGCCCTCCCACCCTGGAGGCCGCGTCGCCCGCCCTTTTCGCTCTACTACATTATTTCTTTTCCTTTTGGTTCGGTGCGGCCTTTTCATCGATCAGGCCGTAAGAGCACAGCCAATATCTGTAACAGAAATGGCAATAGACTCGTAGCAGGAGCTAATGGGCAGGTAGGTTGGTACACGTGTCTGGTTGCCCACCGCTGCCTCCAGGGTGACGAGCAGCAGCCACGCACGGCTGAGGAAAACAATATTCCATCCACCAAACAGCCTGGTACTGGTATCCCAAAGTGGATGGGAGTATGATGGAGGGTCCTCAATGAGGACTCCTCATTCTTTGTGAAGATGAGAGTTCATGCCAACACTAGGGTTGCGCCGACCATTAGAAATATAATTCTAACGTAGAATGATTCTAATGAGAAATCACCCTATAAATGAGAAGGGCCTGCTTCTGGGATTAGAATGAGAAAGCTGTACGACAGCCTGGATCCTGCATTAGAATCGCCAGAAACAGAGGCTTGTGCATTATAATACTTGCACATTAGTACCTTACCTATAGATGTTACTCTGGGCCAGCTATGGCAGATCAAGCCTGACACAAAGCAACCTGACCATCAGCCCGACAACATTGAAGTTTACAAGTATGGTGACAAGAGTTTAGACGCCCCTGCCTACGCTAATGTTCTCAAAGAAGCTAAGGCAAAGCAGCGCGCGTCGTGGTGGGTTCGTTTCAACGTCCTGCTGACAGCTGGCGCTGTGTGGCTCCAATCCGTCCGCTGCAACAAGATCCTGAGCGCTAAGAATCCGTCACAAGTTTGCTCTCAGCACGTCAGAGCATGCGATAAGAAGCTGATGGAGGCGGCTGCAGGAGGCTCCAGAATGCCTCCCTCGCCCAGCCCGCAGCCTGGGCCTTCCACCACCCCCTCCGCCGCTTCCCCCGCTGCTCCCTCCACCGCCGCCGCCGACCCCTCCACCGCCACCCCTTCCACTCCCCTCGATGCCTCAGTCAACAAGCGCCCTTCCACTATAGTGACGGCACGTTCATACAGGCCTTTCGGTTCCGTGAGGCAGGGTGGGGTTCCCAGACAGTGACTGCATTGCCCCATGCAACTGGCTGGAAATAACAACACTTGGCAAGGTTAGCTTTGCATTCTAAGGGGGGTTTATATGGCCAAGAGGTACACCCTTCTGGGTTACGACCCCCGCCATCGACTTTCGGCCTAAAAAATTGGAAACGCCTGGATAACCATGAGCCGCCATGCCCGCAAACCTTCAGTTAATTCTTCGCGCTGGGTGAAAAGATAGCAAAGTAATTCTCAATCTCATATCCTAATTTACTTCTAATTAGAAATGATATGAGAAGGATTTTCCTTCTACCGTTAGGAACAAGCTTAGCCAACACACCTCCAGAAGAAAGCCATCAAGGACAACCTATGTGTTCTTTGTGTTGTCAGTGGGGTCGGCGAGAAGGATTACAATTACACATGCATGGGCAGTCACATGTGCATGCAACCCACACACATACACACACACACACAGTTGCACCAAACACACAACTCGCACAGTTGCACAAGGACACACACACATGCAGGCATGCAACCAGTTCACTTCACGAAATACATCAATACCCCGGCACCTGTACGTTCCCCGGTATCTCCCCTCGAAAAAAGGTTCACATGAGTGGGGTAGGCTGTAGGGCCACCATAACCACCACCCATTTTCACCATGCTTGCCTGGAAATTCGCAATCCTCAATCACCCTACATCTTCAGCACCCTTCAGGATGGCCTCAATGTCGGACAGAGTTCTCGAACTAGCGCTGCTAACCTGCACTGATTCTGTATTAGTCTTGAGGTCTCTGCAGGCACCTAGTCTCTCAGACAGACAGACAGACAGACAGACAGACAGACAGACAGACAGACAGACACACACACAGAGAGATAGAGAGACACACGCAGAGATAGAGACACACACACACACACTCTGCTCAGTTTGTGGAATTACAACCCATACTTGCCTTCCTGCTAAGTTGTGCACTGGGTGCAGGGTCCAGGGTGCTATGGAACCTATCCTCCCCTGCCCGCCTGGATGCCTTGGGCAAACGAAGCGCACATGTAAAGGAACGCGCTATCCCCGACATCATCATCATTATCATCATCATGAACCGTGCCTTATCTGAAACCGAAATCAAGGCTACAATCACCCACCCACCATCACCATCATGCATCACAATTTGCACCTCATCATCAGAATCCTTGCACTCAGACTCTTTCGATAGCCAACCCCATCTTGACATGTGTTTTCTCCCTTGCCACCCAATAGCCGAAAGCCAGCCAGCTCTGGTGCATATACCCCTAATCTGGTGTCCACTTATCCCCCCATCTCTCCTTCTCCACACCTGACTTCAACATTACAACATGGCCACAACCCCTCATCATAACTTCCATTAGAAGTCAGGGCTACAGGTGGTATTTATCAAACAGAGAAAAACAGGGCCGACTTGTTAAGCCCGCCAGACATACCCAACGAGCTCTCTAGCCACCGTTGAAACCCCCTACATGATGAACTGAAAGGACAGCTCCAAATCTACCTCTGCCTGAATCAATTGTGTATCCACACGCGCAGCCTCATCCCTCCATCTTCAGCCACACCAGCACTGCCAAGCCCAGCTTAGACAAGTATTCATCATGGAGGACAGAGAGCGCGGGCGAGCGCGTGACGTATATGTGTGCGTTCCTTTGCATGAACATGCATCAGGCATACACGAGCTCAAGTCAGCAGTGCGAGATCAGCCACATCCACCACATACATGTGCGGGATAGTCAGCATCATGAATACATTTGGAGGAAGCCACCTGCTGCATTGCGCGCACAATCTTTTTGCAATCACGCATTCAGTGTTGTGACCCTCCTGGACAGCCTCCTCCTCCCATCAACAACTTAGTTTTGATGGGAGGACTGCCTGCGCTGCAGTCATAAGAGGGGCTTTCGATGTGGGTGGTGTACGATGCACCCCGCCCCGAGAAAACCGTTTTCCTGGCAGTTTCCATCAAACAAGTTTAAAACTTTTGAAATAGCGTTGAATTGGTGGCTCAGGGTTCACTCCCTTCTTCTGCCCCCTCGGATGGACTCAAACCTATCGGCCTGCCTGTTTAGCTTAGCAGCAAGGCCCCGCTGAACTCTTTTCCTCCTCTTTGCAGAATGGCTGGGGGAAACATAAGCCCTCCTAGGCCGGGCGGAAGATACAGCTCCCCCCTGCGGATGATCTCCAAGATTGGTATCACAGAGCACAGCAGAGAGAAGCCATGATACATGAAGGCCAAAGAAACGATACATCACGGTGTTGTAGGGTTTTGGAAGTGTGTGGCTGCAGCGGCAGCTGCCGAACCAGTCCAGGACCTGTTAATCACTGACGGCCAATGATGCTGGACACCACCGCCACCGCAATCAAGGCCTTATCCTGCCACCAGAGTCCCCCTTCCCTCCTCCTTCATCTCCGACTCACAGCAAAACATGGGTGATTGTGGCCATGTGTAGCTGATGCCTGCCTCACCAAGCACCCAACATCAGCGCATGGAGGCGCGAGTTTATCCTCACCTCATTCATGTGTACGCCTGGCACATGTTGCCTGGATGGCGGTGGAAATGATACACCCCCCCCTTTTCCTGAGGTTCTCCATTCTCTGCGTATCTCCCTCTCTCTCTCTCTCTCTCCCTCTCTCTCTCCTTTTACGGCCCCCTGGTGATTCTCAACCGGGCCCCAAAACCCCCTGCACTCTCCCTGCACTTCTCAACCGCCTCCTTCCAGTGCTGGTTCCCTCAACGTGGTCTCCAGTGGTTTCCAGTGCTGATTGGTGCGGGTGGATGATCACGAAGTGAAATCAGGAAATCACGGCGATGATCCTGATGGTGATGGGCGATGACGGCCATGGTGCGGTGGCACATGCGCACTAGATGGCGACGCCATGGCGCCTGGTGGCGGGGTAGGTGGTGGAAGACAAAACGAGCAACGCACACGGCACGCCGCACATCCCAAACCCACCACCACACACAAACTTACACTCCCCCGCACACAAACAGCCAACACCAACACACAAACACATAGGTATGTGCACATCGCGGCACATTCCCACCAGGGGAAACTCTCAAGTAGCAATGAGCCCCTGGCCTGCGCTCCAGGGAGCCCCTCAGACTGCCAACCACGCAACCAGCCAGCCAACAAGCACACAGACACACACACGCACACAACACACCCAAACCGCCAGCTAGCCGGCGAGCGGGAGCGCAACGGCCAGTGGACGCACACACATACACGTGCGGTCCTTGGCCGACCCAGGCTCCATTGGGTGTAATGACCTCCCCCCCACCCCCCCACAAACATCTACACAGACACAGGCAATGCCCCGTCACGCTCCTCTCGTACTCCGTGAGATCATATCTTCCAAAACCTCCGCCCATCACTTCACAGGCTCAAATGTGCTCCCAGCTCCAGACTGACTTACATACATACATACATACACGGCAGAAGAGAGATGGACAACACGGCAGAAGCCAAAGGAAGAAAACAGAAACATCCGGGGATAGACAGATCAGAAGGATCGACATCGATAGACAGCAAAAGATAAACGAATTTGGCATAAACCTCTGGACCCCTAGGAGGCTGAAGTCCTAGGAGGCCATCCTGGCCTAAAACCCTAATCAGCTCCCACGCACACAAGCCCGGACACAAGCACCACCCCCGGCACGTTCGTCACCTGCACCTGCGGACACCCCCCTCCCCCCCTCAGCATCCATCGGCTCTCGCCAAGAAAGGCCTCGAAACACACAGTGCCCCAAGTGCAGCCCCCTTGGGACAGCCGCTCACCCTCCTCCCCCCAGAAAAGACCTCAACCTACAAACCCCCCTTTCGGGTCCCTAGAGCCTGCTGCACCTATACCTACACCTACACCTACGTCGGCAATTCCCCCCTACTGACAGTAACCCCTCTCCCCGTTTAGCACCTCCCAAGGGGAAACACCTGAAACACCGCTCAACACACCAACATGAATGACTCTGATTTTTGAGCTGTGCGACGAAAGAGCCTAGAAACCCGGTAGTAAAGTTAGGCGTCCGGAAGTAAAAAGTTGTTTTGAGTGTCTCACTGAAAAGTCCGTGTTTGTCAATGACGCCTTTGAGGGCAAAAAGTAAACATCTCTTCAGTTTTGACGAGCTCAGCGCACCAAAATGGAAAAGTAAACTAACTTGAAAACGTTCCAACACAGGGTTCGGCGCAGCCTCGCCGCGGCCTCTGGTCCGCCAGGTTAGCCCCTCAATGACCGCGCAATGGCCGCAACAACCCTTTAGGGCCGCACGCACACATACATACACACACCGGCTACACAACAACTATTAATAGCTCCCCCCTGCTTCTGCAACTACTAGTACTACCATTACTAGTACTGATGCTACTACTATTGCGGTGCATAGCGGCAGTCCTAGGGCTTTACTTTGTGCTACTGCTACTGCTACAGCTGCTACAGCTGCCACCACGGCAGCGCAAAATTCGCCTACGCAGCTACTTTACGACTACTCTTTTTCATTCAGTGCCCCAGTGCATCCATACATACGCACATACATACATGCATACATACATACATACATGCATACATGAACACAGCCGGAAAACCCGCTATAAGGGCCATCCACACGCATTCACATACATAACCTCCTTCGAAAGAAGGGTACGGAAAGAAAGACCGCTGAAAGGCCTCAAAAAGGGGGAAACCCCGCACAACACCACCTGACGCCACCAGCACTCGCAGAAGATATCCATGCCGGAACCCGCTCGTGACGAAGAAATCACTTGGCTCCGATCTATAAACTAACTAACTGACGAACTAATGAGCTAACGAAGCTGGCGCGCTCTCACTCTCTCGAGAATACTTTATCCACATCCCTCCATATTCCCAAGCTCAACCTAACCCTAAAACCTTAACACGAGCGCAAGACTCTTAGCCGGGCGGCCTTCCCCCGCTTCCGCCGATGGGCGCTGCCCCTCATTGCCTTGACAACCACCTACCCCGCCTACCCTTATCCTCACCCATCCAATCCCCTCTTCCACCCTCCCCCGAGGGCGCCTTGCTTCCCTCGCTTCTCTATTCTAGTGAAGGGGACTGTCCGACATATACATGGGGTGTCAACAAAAGCCCCCTTCTGCCCTCCGACCACCCCCCCCGGCTAGCTGGCGAGCTCGCACCCGCCGAACCGGCCCCTGCCGCTTTACGTGTCTCCCCTCTTGTTGCAAGCTCTACCCCCTTTCCATCCCACCTCCTCCCATCTTTGCCACCCCCTTCTCCTAGCCTGGATCATACTCTCCTTCCTTCCCTCCCCTTGAATTGCCAGCCAGGCAGGCAGGCATTAGCACGCGAAGTCGCTCCCACACGCCCTACTAGCTGTTAGGGTGATACCCGGGTAGTTTGGATACCACCCACCTCACCACCACTACCAGACACTCCACCACTACCAGACACACCACCACTACCACCACTGCCAGACACACCAGAGCCCCGAGCTCCCCACCGCAGCGACCCCTCCTTCACCTCAGACCAACCCCCCCCGACCCCACCGCCCAGTCGGCCCCCCTCCCCCCTTGCTCGTGGTTCGTCTTTCCCCTCCTCCCCTCGCGTGAACCTCCTCCGTCTTCCACCTGCACTGGTCCCCCTGGACTGCTACGACTCCCCGCGCCCGTCCTGCCCTTCCGTACGAGGGCCATCCGCCTGGGAGGCCTGGCAGGCAGTGGGGGAGGGAGGAAGCGGGGCGTGGAGAGGAGGGAATGAAGAGCGGGCCGCCGGGTGGTGGGGGATAACGAGAAACGGGAAGAAAGAGGGAGAGGAGCATGATATGGTCATGCCAAGGAAGACAGCGCCTGGCGCCTAAACAAGCAACAACAGCTTTCCAAAATTACAAGCAACCAAGTGCAGGTTCTTCCCCCCACACACACACACACCACGCAGCGAGGAGGTTGCGAAATGGGGATTGCATGTAGGACGGTTAGGACGGCAACCCTCACACAACCCGTTGGGAATGTTATGATGAAGGAAGCACCGGTGGAAGGGTTGAGGAATGAAAGAGGTGGGGATCGTGCAACTGCTGTTCCATGCAAATGAAATGGAGACTTCGGAGAAAACAGGACGGGCCGTCCCAGGCTGGATTCGAACGGCGACGGCTATGGCGGCGGCGGCGGCGGGTATACGGCGAAATAAGAAGAAACGTCCTCCGCAGCTGCGTAATGCAAAAACGATCCATCTAACCGCCAACCGTCCAACCGCCCAACCGAACTACCTGCCGCAGCGCCTCATCCACTTCCACCTTGCGCTGTCTGCGCGCGGGAGGGAAGTACAGAAGGAATATCGGGGAGACGACTCAGTAAGGAATAGACGAGCGGATAGAAGTGCGATGACCTGGAAGGGTTATGGCTGATGAGCGGCGGCGGAGAGGAAGGTCCACGGGTTTAGGAGGGTGTGGAGCAGTAGGAAGATGCTGTCGGAAGGGGTTCGGAAGGGCCCCGCCCGACACATCGACCCGTCATACGAGTTGTACACACCTCAAGTACTGCAGATCCGTACTATCCGGCCGTACGCAGCTCGGGCCATCAGGACGGATATGCACTGAGGCAGGCTGCACCGCCAGTCCCGCACCGCCCGCCGCACCGCCATCATCGCTGCCAGCGCCGGAGGCTGCCGCCGCCGCCACAATCCCACCACCGCCGCCAGCGCCAGCGATGGACAATCGGGGCGCTACCGGCTGAGCCCGGACGCCTGCCGCCGCCGCAACGTTGACGTTGCCGCCGCCGCCATCGACGGCCGAGGCCAGCTGGGGACCACGCACCGAGGGTTGCTCCAAAACCAGTGCCCCTTTCCCCCCGCCAGGCACACGGGGCCCAATCGCAGTTGGCGGCGCGGCGAGGGAGAAGGACATAGCAGCGGTAACGTCAGATGGACAAGACTGCCGTACAGGGTGCGGTGGCGGCGCCTCCATTATGCCCCGGCTGCGGCCGCCGCATCCGGGTCCTGCCGCTGCGTTGACGGAGGCGCAAGGAGCGGCGGCAGCAGACACCATGGAAACCGATGGCGCCGCCGCCGCGGCGGCGGCGGCGGCGCTGCCGCGGCCCCCTAGCGGCGCCGGAGGTTGTTCCTGGGTGCCTGCTGCCGCCGGCGGCGCTGCCGGCAGTGCATCTGGGGTCGGTGGTTGCGGTTGGTAGCTGCGAAGGGAATCCCGCAGGGCCCGCTGCCTCTTGGAGCCAACGGTTCCCATCCCGCCGCCGCCGCCGCCGCCACCGCCGCCACAAGACGCTGATGCACATCGGGGCACATCCAGCCGCCGTCGTCGCCAGCAGCGCCGCCGCCGCCGCTCCTCTCACCAGCGGCGCCATGTCCGGTCGTCGCCGTCATCTCCGTCGCCATCGGTACGACACTGGCGTCGCTCTCCCTACTACGTCGCCTTAAACCACCAAGCTCGCCGCCCCTGTTGCCGTCGCTGTCGCCGTCACCGTCGTCACCGCCGTCACCGCTTCGAACTGCGGGCCCAGCGCCCCCCACGGCCCAATAGCAACATGCAATCCATAGCCGCGGTGGCGTATCAGGTAACGGAGGGTTTAAATAGAAGCACCGCGACGGACCTGGACGGAGCTTAGACGCGAACGAACGACCCGGAGTTGGAGTTGGAGAAGGAGTCGGTTGGACGATTGAAAACCAACCAGTATCGGGCTCCGGCGCGGTAACACCGGGCGATCCTCCTTGCGCGCACCCCCATCGGAATCCGCCCTCCTCCTCCGCCTCCTCCTCGCCATTCTTCTGGCCGTGCAGCTCTCCGCCACCACCATCATCATCATCATCATCATCACCACAACCACCACCACGGCCACGGCCACACTCCTCATTTTCTTCAGGCAAGCACGCGGCACGCAAGGGGCAAGGCACGCAGGGCATGCAAAGCAAGCGAGCAGAGCACGCAACGCAGGGCAAGCCAAGCAAAAACAGGCAGGGCAAAGCAAGCAAGCAAGCAAGCAAGCAAGGCGACCCAAACAAAGACAAAAAGGCAAGCAAGCAAATAAACAAGCAAGTGGACATGCAGAGAAACCAACCAAGGCAAGCAATTAAGCAAGCAATTAAGCAAGCAATTAAGCAAGCAATTAAGCAAGCAATTAAGCAAGCAATTAAGCAAGCAGGTAGTGAAGCGAGCAGGTAGACTGTGCAAAGACCGGACTCCCACCTCCCCACCAGGGCGGACGACGAGCAGTGGGGGAAAAGACGAACCACGAGCGAGTGAAGCTGCTGCCAAGGGGTGTGGGGGAGAAGATGATGAGATACGCCCACGCCCGCACCTTCACGCACCCTAGCCCTGCCCAGCTCTGCCCTACATCACCCTACATGATCGCCTTCTCGCCAAGTCCACCTCATCCACCTCCTGTGCGCCGTAACAACCTCCGCAAAGCTCATGAAAGGGCCATTGCTTCAGCAACGTCCGGATGTACTCACAGAGGCTCGACCCCTCCTCTACCACACCATGCCCTGCCATAACCAGCACCATACATCTGGCAGAGCGTGCGGCTCATGCGGTATTAATTTTTCCCAGCCTCTATACACACGCAAAGTTTTCCTCTGACGCGTCCACCCATCCACCTGCTGTCGCCATGGCGCCGCCGCCAGGTGCAATAGTCGCCGCCGCAGCGGCGGCGGCAGCGGCGGCTGCCGCCGCCGCCGCCGCTGTCGCCGTCATGCCGTCGCCATCCGTCATTTGGCTGCTTCCGAAACTGAACCGCCGCGCTACACGCCGCCGGTATCCGTCAAAATCTTCCTCCTCCTCCTCCTCCTCCTCCGCAACTTCCTCCAGGTCAGCCTCCGCCTCCTCGCCCTCCTCAACGTGCTGATAACCGCCTTCGCCCTCGTCCTCCGTCCCCACGATCACGTCCGCGCCGTTGGACGACGCCTCTCGATGCGCCCCCACCTCATCAAAACACAACCGCCCGCCCAATGCCCCAACTGCCCCAACCGACATTTCCGAGACTGACATATCGGCGGTGGCGACGGAGCTGCGTGTACGGCGGCCGCGGCGGTACCGCCGACGCGGCGCCGACGCAGCGGCGTCGGACGCCACTGCTGCTGTCCCCAGGGGCGCAGGTGCGGGGCCCCCACAAGGTTGCGGCAGCGCCGGCAGCACGCCGTTGTACGGCACCCCCGACGAAGAAGCGCGCGGCATGGCCAACCCGCCGCCACCGTCGGCTGCTGCCGCCGCGGCTGCCACCGCCGCCGCCACATCGCCGGCAGCGATGGAGCCCGGCGGCGGGAACGTTCCATGAAAATGCCCCGCCGTCGCCGTCGCTGCTGCCATGGAAAGGTTCGGGAAGTCGAGGTTTGGTCGCGTCGCCAGGAAGAAGGATGAAGGGCCGTACGGTTGCTGCTGCGACTGTGCGCCGACGGCTGTGACGCCGCCGGCGTCAAGGGACATGCGGCTGGGGCCCAGCCGGCTCAACGGCAGCGGCGGCGGCAGCGGCAGCTGAAACCGCGGAATGCCACCCTCCCCAGCGCCATGGTCACCCAGGTCGCCAGCCCGGGGAGCTCTAAACACAGGCAGGGAACCCGGTACGGCAGCTGCTTCGCCGCCGCCACGGCGGCCACCTGCGTTGCCGCCAAGGCGGCAACCGGGCCCTGCCGCCGCCGTGGCGACGGCAGCGGCGCAGTTCTGTGCCGCCGCCAAGCGGGTCGTCGCCAGCGGCAACTCCCCCGCTGGCGCGGGCGGGGGGTCAGCGGTGAAGTAGGGGTGCGCCAGTGCCTGGCGAGCCGTGGGCCGCTCTCGAGGGCACAGGCAAGTGAGCTGCCGTAGCAGATCGAGGGCGTCTGGTGTGGCATCCGGGAAGATAGTCGCCAAGTCCTGCGTGTATGTATGTATGTATGTATGTATGTATGTATGTATGTATGTATGTATGTATGTATGTATGTATGTATGTATGTATGTATGTATGTATGCGCAGGAAAGGAGGACGGAAACATGCACAGGTTCGCCGTACAGGGCATGCGAGGGACCCCTCCCCCTTCAGGACATCCGTTCGCCAAGTGCGGAGAACGCGCCCGAGTCTCGTCTCGCGGGACGTGTCCACTGCACGTACGGAAAGGCAGTGGCGGTAAAAGACCACCAGCGCCGGGGGGATGCAAGCCGCAACGAAATTCACCGCTTACCCGCGTTCCATCCTGTCCAGCTAGCTAACCGAGTTAAGAGAAACCCACTCCCTCCCAAAACTTCCCCCCTCCCCCGCGAACATCATTTCCCCCTCCTCCGGGACAGGGCCCCCTCCTACCCGATACCTGCACATGTGGAATCCTCTCTCTCTCTCTCTCTCTCTCTCTCTCTCTTTGATTTTTGATTTTCCTCCCCCCTGCCTGTGCCTTCCCCCTGCCCCTCCTCCTCGCCTCCTTCCTCCTACCTTGGGCGCCATGGGTGTAAACTTCAGGTAGTTGGGCAGACTGGTGACCCCCGGCCACGTGGCCTCGGAGGGGGTGCCCAGCACCTCGAAGATGAGCCGCAACTGCTCCACGTCGGAATTGCCCTGGAGCCATACGGGGGGAGGGAGATGAGAGACGGAGAGACAGAGAGAGAAGGGCAGAAGCAGAGAGAGAGAGAGAGATGGAGGGTTAAGGTTATGGTGGCTTTAGAGAAAACGCGAGGTGTCGTCTGAAGAGAAAAAAGTATAGACGCCAACATTTAAAGATGCTGGTTGACCCACCTTGAACCAAACCCGCCGCAACATCATCTCCGCAAACACACAGCCCGCTGCCCAGACGTCGATACAGGTGCCGTACGTACGGCAGCCGTACAGCAGCTCAGGCGGCCGGTACCACCTCATGCCCACCTGCGTAGTGACGGGAGCCGGGGGGTGTTGACAGGACCACATGTGTGTGTATTGTTTAATTTACGTTGGTGAAACCAAGTTAGATAAAAAAATCAAATTCCCACGTAAACGCCATGTACGACAATAATTAAAAAGAATAGTCCAGCAGTAGAGCATCGAGATGGTGAAAAAATCCTCCATTAAAAATGAAGCTACTCCAGGAGTCAAAATCGTTTCTTTATGCCGCGCAACCATTAACTCATCCTCTGTTGATAAACAGATCCAGGCAGGCACACACACGCACACACATACATACATATATACATACACAAGCGCACGCACACCATCACCGCCTCCATAAGCCGCACCTGGTGGGTCATAATCGGCCTTCCGTGATCTCCGAAAGGACCGAGGAGCTTCGCACGTGAACCGGCTGCTGCTGCTGCCGCCACCTTCACCGCCGCCTGCGCCGTCGCGGCGACAGTCGCATGACCCGAGGGTCGGCAGTCGTCCCCCGCCGTCGCCGTCGCAGCGGCTCCTGTCCCTAGCCACAAGTACCCATCATCATCATCATCATCATCATCCCCATCTTCCTCCCCCGCCGCCTCCAGGGGCAAGTACCTGGCCAGTCCGAAATCTGCTAGAATCAGCTGTCCTTGATCTCCCAACAACAAGTTGTTGGGTTTCACATCTCGATGAAGAACACCCTGCAAATACGCAAGCCACAAAACGCGAAAAAACTTGAAATTTGAGCTCAAAATCCACAAAAAACCGGTCAACCGTCAACTGTCAACATCAAAATCAGCGCCCCAACCCACTGCCGAGGGAGCTCTGGTCGCCAAGAAGGCCAAGGGAGGTAAGGGAGGAGCGTGGGCGCTTCTTCCAGACGTGTGGAAATACAACAGTACGTACGGCAAAATCAACGGCCAAACACACACACATCCACACACAGCGCCCAACCGGACCCACCCACCCACACCAGCTACATTCAAAACCCTGCGCCAGTACACATACGACATGTCTCGCACTCGCTCCTGCCCACACATTACCCAAACCCCCTAATTCCGCTCGGGGGGGGCCCCACATATATAAGGCCCAACCTGCTCGTGGCAGTACGACAGGGCTTCCAGGAGTGCCTTCATGTGCGCCTTGATTACCCCAGGCGCCAACGCACCACCGTCACCACCATCACCGCCATAGCCACCGGCAACGGGGACCCGTCCAGGCACCCCGTGATGATTGCCGCCGCAGGCCGCGACGACAGCGCCTCTGTCGCCGGTGCCGCCGGGGGCGCCGGCGGCACCGGTGGAGCTGCCGTACAGGAGCAGCTCCAGATCTCCGCCTGCTGCGTAGTCAAAGACCAGTACGAGCGTATCTTTGTGTTGGAAGGTCTCCCGCAGTCGTACAATGTGCGGATGACGTAGTTCCTTGTGAGAAGGGGTAGGGGGGAAAGAAGGCCGGGGGAGGGGAAGGCAGAGGAGAAGGGAAATGAAAGACCAAACCCCAACATGTGCACGAATTCGAAAAACCCAACGGGCAAGAGGGGCAGCTCGGGGAATAGGAGGCAGCAAAGAAACCACACGAGTGCGAGTAATGAGCGTATTTCCAAAATACGTGTAAATGTATGTATGTATGTATGTATGTATGCATGTATGTATGTGCGAAGATGAAGTATGTAGGATTCTGTATATCTGTGAGGGAAGGGCACGTCCTCACACACCTGCAGAACCTTGATCTCTCGCATAGCCGCCTGCAGCACACCACCTCGGTCATCAGGTCGTTCACCACCGCCACGCTCCGAAACCGCCATAATCGCGCCTCCGCCTCCGCCGCCAGGACCCAGATCGCCACCAGCGCCTCCGCTGACGGCAGGCCTCCCTGGCGCCTCCGCCACCGATGCCGTACTCGCCTCCCCGGCATGGAACACAAAAGGTAAGCCCGCCGCCAAGCCGTTATGATGCGGCGCGGACGCCGCTGCAGCGGCGGAGTAACCGCCGTTCACACTGGCACGGCCGTACACTTCGTTGGCTGTGCCGGTTAGCGCAGCAGCTGCCGCTGTACCTGATGCCGGCGGCGCCATCCGCCTCAACTTTTTCAGCGCCACTTGTTGTCCCGTCCGTTTACATCGTGCCACATACACCGTAGCGTACGTGCCGCCCCCCAGCACCTTCCGCTTGTCTCTGTCGTAGCGCTCATTGATGTGGCCCATCTAGGGCCTGCCGTACGACAGTACGGCAGGCTTCTTTCTTAGCGGCTCAGACTTTTGGCAGGGTGGGCTCGCAGGACGCAGTCACCCGCAGTCCCTGCAGCGCCACTAACACCGGAAGCTGAAGAGGAATCCAACAGCGGCCGATGAAAAAGAGAGACGTGGTAAGGACGAGCGTGGGGCAGCGGAGACGTGATGTTTGATGCTGCCGCCGGGCGCCTTCCCGCTCTTCTAGCGGAAGCGCTGAATGCGCCTCAGATTAAAGGTGGCGCTGTCGCCTTCCGAACAAGGTCCGTCTGTGTCGGAGAAGACGAGGTGGAGGATGAGAAAGATGACGATGAGGGTGAGAGAAGGGAGAGAGGAGGAGGGCCACGGGGAGATACTATTGACGGCGCGGTGTCGCTAGATATGCGTTTGTTGGAGATGAAAACGCGGTGCTTTTCCAGGTTTGTGCCCGACGGCCGCTGAGCATAGATGTTTCGCGAACTTTCCGTCCTCTCCTTTTCTACAGATCAGAAGCCTCTGTACATTTACAATATTAAATGTTAATTCGCATGCGGCGGTAGGATTTTATCGAGTCCTTTTGTCGCGACCCGGGAAAATCCTGGCAGCTTGCTTGCAAGGGACAGTTGCGACGCCGACTAGTGATATAAACAACATGGAAAGGAAGGATATGCTTGTACCTTGGGCTTTCGTATCTACTAGGGGTGCAACAATGCCACCGTGCCGATAAGCACCAAATGGTATTTCTAGGACCCTAACAGCTTCTGCGCACTTTCAACAACCCAGGACATCAGGTTGTCAAAACAGCGTCTGCAAACCTCTGCAGCAACACACTCTGCCCGTGTGCGGCAGCTCTGCCTCAAGGAATGCCGCCACGACAAACGTGATCCACTTTCTGTAGGAAAAACGGAAACGACTTACCACTGTGCTGTCGGAAAACATCCAGAAAGTCCAGCAAACGCACCGGTCCGTGTTGACATTCCCCGCTCTTATGAAGACTATTCGGCAGACAGGCAGGAAGGTTCCTACCCACGCGACCGCAACCCCAACGAGAACACTTCTGACAGGCCTAGTTGCATGGATACGATCTACAATGCGTGCAATTACCAAGGCCAAAAGCGGCACCGTGGCGAGAGAGGCAAATTACAAAAAATCTTTCCCTTCCATGCAACTGCATGCTTGTAACGCTCATGCCCATTTCCCTTACTAGGCAGGTGTAGATAATCATGTTCGTTTGCTATGGAGCCTGTCATGCGCCGTACTCGATGTAGTCGTAAGTAAAACTTTGAGCGCCATTGACGACGTTACGATGATCGCAGATATTCAGCTCTGGAATTGTTCTTCTTCTCCAGAACCGTAGTCGCATTCGTATGGTAGTTGAGCGTGCTACACTCCCTTAATCGAGCCACGTGTTGCGTAAAATCATGCGGCAGTTAGGATTGGTATAAGGACGACCCAACTAATGGTATGCCTCGGTGGACAGCAGTTGAATATGGGTTGCCCTGCTACTATGGAAAGGCAGATATGCCAGGATGTTGGTACGAATGAATGCCAACGTGTGCACCCAAACATAAATCACGAATCAGCGAACTGGAGCCTGGCCTTATATACCAAATGGTGGATCTGTGGCATTTTTGTCTGATAGCCTCCTCAGCAATAGTGAGATTTCCAACATATACAAGAAGCCGTGTATGAGGCCTGGGACCGGATAAATCCTCCATCAAGGGAAATAGCGGGAAATTGCAAGATTGACTGCAAGTTCGTGACGGCTTGAATGCACACACACCTGCTACATGCCCTTACGTAATCCTGCTGCCGGTACGCGGTCCACGCACACGCAGCTTGAGGCTGTCGGAGCGCGGTCCACGCACACAGAGCTTGACCTGCGCTGCACCCTGGTGTGCGCCATAGGGGTTTAAGATATAAGCACAACGCCGCATGCTAAATCTGCATTCCCAGGCTGCTTCTTACAGCATTCATATTCAAAAAAACTGCAATGAAATCTGCCGGGCAATGCATACTGACTCAATCATAAAGCGCATGTCGCTAACTATCGATTCGATTACATTATGTACACAGTCATGAGCTCTTAAGACGTTGGGACCAGCATTCGTTGCTTCCAAGACCATGTTTCCATGACCACGATTTTGTGCAGATCTACATGAACGGACTTGAACAGGGGCATGGGGCCCATGGGTATTTTTAGGGGGGCCGGCTGCAGAAGATAGTTCAAACAAAAGCCGTAGTGCTGATGAAAAGAACCAGAAGTACATAATGACGTCACAACCACAGGATTCATGCTCTTTATACGTTCCTATTATGGCCCGCAGCTAGCGTGCACTGGAGCGCATTGGAAATTGCTCAGGTGTGTGTTCCGTTGTTACAGTGGATACCTCAAGTGGATAACTTCATCCAAGCAAATTGCGCGGCTACCTTTCACTGAACAACAAACCGGACATTGTTGACAAACTACGTTTTTTCGCTGTTAGGCGTAAATGTTTTTACCAACATATGCACCTTTCAGCTGTCTTTTAAAAGACCGTACACGACACACGACGGGCAACAAAAATCAGTCATGTTAGCGCGACCCTGCTCCTAGATGACTTCGTCTCTACATCAGTAGAATGTGAATCTGCGATGCTCGTTCCGATCTAGCCGTTAATCCTAGCTTCGCATGCTGCTGCATTCCTACAAACGTCTTATAACACCCCACGCTAAGCTGTCGAAATTGCTGGATTAAGTTGGTTCAATGGCTAGCTACGTGTGTGCATCATTGCATTGTTCGAATGCTCTGGTCCAAGCGGTGTCGAAAACCGTGTAGGCGGTGCGAACTACGCCAAAACTGAGGGCTTGGTGTTCCAGGGAGAATGATCATCTACGCAACAACACAAGCTGTTGGACGAGCTAAATTCACCTTCGGAGCTTAACTTGTACGATTGCCTACGTATTTTTGCTGGCCCAAGGGATTTGGCTTGTCTTGACCACAACCTTACACAAAACGCTTTCTCCTTTTACGTTGAGACGCAGACTTCCCTTGACAATGACCTTGGGCAAAGAAAGTGTGGTCGTCATCTCCTGAACTCTAACGTCGCATCTGCATGTACATTTTGATGCCATTGTATCAGCAAATTGCTGGATTGCGTTCATGTTCGCATTCGGGGAGTCCGGTACCTGTGGGCCATTCATAAGCACCCGTCCTGTCCAGTATTAGATGTCGGAGTCAGCTTCACAGCATAGTGGCGATGCATCAGAGACCTCGTCTCAGGCAGCTGACAGGGCTATCCTAAAGCGCAGGTACTTGTGGGCGTGGCCTTCTTTTGGATAGGTCCGTACGTTTATAGTGGATGGTCGCGCCTTAGGGTTCGTATGTGTGAACATGTCACATCGACTTCTTGAGCATTTGATGGCGGCTTGGGAACAGGGCTCGGTTGGGTTAGGAACCTCTTGGCTATCGACGTCTGTTTCATCGTGCCAACGGGATAGTTATGAATAATTTTCAGTTGACCGTATCAACAATGGCTTTAGGGGTGCATAAAGACGGGATTGTTTTCATGGAGCTGTTGACGTTACCCCCTGTTTCTGGGCCTGGCTGTGAAAAACATTTCTCGAGTCCTGCAGGAACCGCAATCGCGATGAAGTTGATGGAGAAGAGGATGATCTTCTTGAGCAAAGGAAGTCGCTGCAAGAAGGCGTCTTTGCAGCGATGTGAGGAATGCCATGTTCACGTGCCCATAAAGATGGGTTCATGGGGCTTCGGTTAAATAATATGTCCTAGCAGCCGTGCAAGAGGTAGTTATGTAAAAAGTTGCTGATTCCAGTTCTGGGAGGCCTCGGGAAAGCCTTGAAAAGTCTGTTACCTAGTCGAAGACTCCGGTTGGAGAGAGCTACGCGAGTCTATTACGCCATAGGAGGGGACATGAATAGTTATCAAAATTAGAGGGAAGGCGCTTAGGATGTACCGGAAAAAATGGTGTTCTTATCTGGCGCAACCCCGTTGCAGGTACATGCTGTCACGCGGCAAGTCCACAGACAGCTGGAGATTTGCGACAGCCAAGATTGTGCTCGAAGCCCTGATTCCCTTTCTCATTATTTTCAACCCCACCAACGGATGGGACATCAACACCTCAAACCCAGTCTGGCAGGTGGTTCGATGGACGCTCCCGCGCTCGCCAGTGGCTCGGATCTGGGTAAGCTGCAAACACTCTTTACTCCCATACCCAGGAAATATTTTATCATAATAAATTTGTCTTGAGACGAAGGGATGGAGGTCGGATAACCATCTCCGAAAACGGGGTTTGACTGGCCCGGGCTCTCCAAATTCCGAAGAGACACAGCCCAGCCTAACTCAATAAGTGCCATGGCGCTGAAACCCACATCCACTCATTAGATGTCTGTGGGTTTGAACATGGCGCAGCGCGCTTGGGGGGCTGGTGCCGAGCAACGCCGGAGGTAGGGTTGTCCTCACGTCCTGGCGGCAGCGGCTTGAGTTGTAAGCGGAAGGCAAAGTGTGGCTCCCAAGTTGGCGCTGCTGCAGGCACTATACGAGGAGCAGCAGCAGCAGTATCACTAGCAGCAACGTACCTGCAGGAAGCGCGGCAGCAGAAAGCGCGCCTGCAGGCGCCGGCTATGCTGCAGCAGCAGCACGTTCAGCAGGATCAGGAGCATGTGCTGCCGCAGGTGTTGAATAGTAAAGCTACATTCCGCCGCTGCTGTACCAGCTGGGAAGGGGGAGCTGCATGGCCATGTAATATGCAGCTCACGCAACCGTGCTATACAGGGCTTTGTAACATTGCTGGACTTTGGACTCCAGCAGCTGTCCTGGAGAGCTGACCCGACCCTAGGTTATAGATTTATACAAATGCAAAGATAATTATTGTGTATCTATATACGATATACAACTTGTATATCTATACATGTATGTAGGGAGGGAAAGAGATTAGGAGGCTTACAGATTGTTTAATTAGGCGGTTTCCTAAACCTGCCCTGACTGTGCGTCTATCTGTGCCTAGATAGAGCATGGGTACAAACGCGCGCTTCTCGCTGCGGTGTGTAGGATCGCTGTGTGGCTGCAGGGTAGGGGGATTTAGGGGGCCGGATGGAGGTTGGCCAAAATGGCCGGGGACGACGAAGCTCCTCCTGCAGTTGGAACGGAAGCTGAAGGCAGGCTGCTGACGGTCAAAAAGCTAGATCCACGCCGCATGCCCCTTCGCTAGTTTTTGTAACAATTACCGTCGCCTTCTCCTCATGATTACTTGACTGTCTTCTTCTTCTTCTTCTTCTCGGCTGCCTGTGGATATCGTACCGCATCACGCCGTGGGTGGAATGCGGCTCATGTAATGCCGAAATTCTGGCGTTCCAGGGCCAATACCTCCCCCCCCCCCCACACACACACACGCGCGCGCGCGCAAACACACCTGCATATGTTTTGCCCCCTACTTGCTCGTTTTCCTCTACCATGCAGGGGTACAATGTCTACATCCGTGTCTTTTACGCCATCGTGGGGATGGTGTACACCGCAGTAGGTTGCATTGCGCTGCTCACGTATGCGATGCGCAAGCAGGTAGGTGCCGATGGGGGGGAGTGGTAGTGGGTCGGGTGTTGGTAAGGACAGAGGTACCCGGCAGACCCGGCGCGTGGGGGTCCAGGAGGCGGTTCGGGCCGGGTGTGAGATGGAGCAGGGGAGGAAAAGGCAAGTGGACAATCCGAGTGCGGATCCAAATGTGAGGTATGGATTTGGAATGGAGGGCCGCAACCCCCCTGGAGTTGAAAGAGAAGATGGATGGCGCCACCACCGGGTTGCAGCTCTCTGGGGGGAGAGCTCTGGTGGGGCAGGGACGGAGAGGAGCGGGACCTAAGCAGCCAGCGGGGCGACGGGGCAGGGTGGGTAGAGTCGCCAGCTTACCTTCTCCAGGGAGGAGGCCAGTCGGAATGAGGGACACCGAAGAGGGGGAGTTGGAACGGCCCGTCAGTTGCCGGGTGCAGTGCACCGCCCTGCTCCCTGAATTTCATGCACTGCATTTTCACTGTCTTTTATGCACTGCGCTGTACTGCATTGCCCTTGGATTTAGGGGCCGTGAACGGACGTCCGCAAAGTAGGCTCTGTCCTGCATCCTTTTTTGTTGCTGTTGTTCTCGCCTGTGTGTTATGGGGGGTCCGTGTTATGGCAACATACGCATCACAGCACTACAGCATGTCGGGAAATGTGCCTGCGAACGGGATGGTGTGCAAAGGAGAGGGTTACTGTCCGAAGCTCAGTTACCCCGGGGCTACCACACCACCATCACTCTTCTCCTTGCCCCGGCCCTCTGGCCACACCTTGCAGGAGCATTCTCGTACACTGATGCGCTTCGCAAGGGTTTTACAGCTGGTGACGGAGGTGGTCTTCACGCTGGCTTACATGTCTGTGTGAGTGAGGGCTGTGAGGGCGGATGAGGAGTGGGGATGCACACGCGGCCAGGAGGGAAATTTGGGGTCAGGGTCTGAGTTGCCCGGGGGGAGAGCGGGGCATGATATTCCGCGGGGAGTTGGGTGGCGGCAGGGGGGTTTGCGGGAGGGGAGGAGGGAGGGTGTCTGAAGGAGGAGGTGTGCGACAATACGACAGGCGGCATAGCAGTGTGGAAGTTCCAATTGCGGCTGAGCACGAGATATGGAAAAATACACGCACACATTACATACATAAGTGCACGGACAGACAGACAGACAGACAGACAGACAGATAGTCAGGCAAGCAGACAGACATGAAAGAAAAGACAGGCGGACATGCCGTGTCCGTACCTTCACTGTGTATCGGTCGTACCAATGATGAGCCGGCCGCATCGTGCCGCTTTCCTTGCAGGCTCCGTAATTGGGATATCAATATGAGTGAGCACCTGCAGAGGGGGTTAATTAGCGACAGGGAGGGAAGGACCTGGAGAAGCAGTAGGTGCAGAACACGGCATGAACCGTGCGGCTGGAACCTCGCACTCATGCCCCAAACATGCCCCAAACATGCATCCGGTGCTCGGCTCCACAGAGTCGAGGGGTGAACTATACGCCCTCACCTTATCACCACGCCGCATTGCTCTGTACCTGTACCCTAAGTTCCCTAACCAGAAACTTTAATGTAATATGGAAAGCGACTAAGTGTAAATTTAAGTGCCTTTGCATGTGTGCGTGTTTGTGTGTATGTGTTTGTGTGTGTGTTTTGTGTGCACGTATCATGTCTGATGTTGCGTGCAGGTTCGACTACATGCTCTTTCTTTTCAAATGCGAATTCTCGTCCCATGGCGCACATCCGCATGCGTACTTCAAACACGTGGGTAAGTACGACGGATATCAGCCGTACGCCCCCGTGCGGTTGACGGTCAGAGGTTGGCGGTTAGCTGTGCCTTCCCAATTAGACACAGCTCCTGATTTTGAGGGTGGTTGGGTGACTGACTGACACACACCACTCGCTGCTGAGGAGGAGACCTCCAGGACTGTTGGATCCACTCCCTGTTTGGATGTCGGCGGTTGCTTCCTTTTTTTAGATTTTTTCTTTGGCAGTTGCTTTTAGAGTTAGATACGCTCGCTTTCCCTTCTTCTGGGAACTGTATGATAGCCTGAGATGCGTGCCGTACGGTCGTTTGGCGGTGTGCCCATCATGACTGCTAACTCAGGGTTTCACCAGCACTGTAGCTGTTGTTCCTGCTGCTAATGACGATGGTGACGATGATGGTGATGGTGATGGTGTTCATACCGATGCGACCAGTGTTGGGACTCTTGCTACATTCCTTACGCCATATCGAGCAACGCCCCTCACATGCAAAGACCGCGATAGCTAGTCATCAGCAACCCTTCTTCGCTCTGTCCCGGCCGCCCCGTTGCTGTTGACGCTGCTGTTCCCCTCCCCTTCCTCCTCCTCCGCCTCTTCCTCGTCCTTCCTCATCCCCCGGCCCCCCAAACACGCCGACAGAATGTTCCGAGACCCCCCATTTGATCCACATGACGGTGGCCGGTGTGACTGCGGTGGTCTTCTTTTGCAGCACGGGGCTCATGGTGGGTGAGGGGCGATGTGTGTGTGTGTGTGTGTTGCGGGGGAGGGGCAGGGGGAGGGGGAGGGGGAGGGGCAGGTGGAGGATCAGGTCCCCAAAAACCGTTTGGCTGTTCTCTGGTTCGTTCTCGAAATTTGTACAACTCCCTGTTCCACTAATACCCTGATAACAGGTCATACTTTTAAATATGGCTATAGCAGTGGTCTTGATTTTCGTTTTCAAACGTCATGACGGCTTATACGGGTGTTGCACCTTGCATATCCGTTTGCCCCTTTCGAATGTGATCATCTCTCTCCTCCCGCCCGCACCCCTCCTTGGTGGCTGGCTGCAATAATCCCCTGGTGGCGGCAGCTGGTGGCGGGTTGCGATCTGAGCCCGGTGGGCCGAGGGGTGATGGCCTCACCCGCCGCCGTCACTCGGCTGAAGGTGCTGATGCTCAAGGTATGGGAGGAAAGGGGGAAAAGAGTGAGAGGGGGTGGGGGAAGGGGGAAGGAGAGAAAAAGAGTGGGAGAAAGAGTGAGAGAAAGAGAGAGAAAAAAAGAGTAGGAGGGAAAAAGGATGGGTTAGGCGAGGGGCTGTAGCCCAGAGGAGCATAGGGAAAGAAGGGGAGGGCACCCCTCCTATGCCGTCTGTTGTTTTCCTTAGGAGGATTGTGGGATGTGGGATTGGTCCGTGATGTGTGACCCGCCCGCTCAACACGTCCCTCCTCTACTGGAATCCCCTCTACGTCAAAGGCTCTCTACGTCATCGTCATTAATACCATGGCCTCCGTACCCAAGCCCCAAGCGGTGGCGGTGCTGGCAGCTGCTGCGGCAATCACCTTCTTCAATTTCACACGGGTGGGCGGGAGTCCGGGGGGGAGGGGATGGGAGGGTTAGGGAAAGGTTGAGGATCCCGCGCCACTTCAACCGCTCCAGTACTGCTTCCGAAACCAGGCATTTCGCGCGTATAACTGCGATCCTGGGAAGTATATAAATTGGTTTTGCTTGTTTTAGCTTCGCACGCTATAGGAAATTTATATGTCACCATCCAAACTTTGACTATCTCTTACCCCTCTCCCCTTTTCCCCTCCCCCCAAATTTCCCACACAACGGCGCCCCACGCATCGTCACCACATCGCCGCCGCCACCAGCTGCCCTTCCTGCGCACCTACATCAACTACTTTTGGGTGGGTGGCTGGACAGCGGTGTCGTACACATGCGGCGTGTACTGCTATTTCATGTTCCATAAGGACCGGCGGACGCAACACGTGCAGCATGAGATGGTCAAGGTGGGCCGAAAAGGGCACACATGCCCGGACGGAAAAAGGAGAGGAAGTATGTATGTATGTATGTATGTATGTATGTATATGTTTGTTTGTTTGTATATACGCGTTTGTGTTTTTTCCTTAACATGTCTGACAGGGCCTTTCTGGCACATGTTGGGCCCACCATATCAACCCCCCCCACCACACACACACAAATAACCAAATACACACAATCACAACCCCACTTCCCATCCTCTCCATATCCACCTTCCTCTCCTCATCTCACCCCCTGCCCCTCCACGTCAGCTCGTCCTGTACGGCGTCTTTCCGGCAGCCGCCGCCGGCACGGCTGCGACGGTGTTGTGGCTACGTTACTGCATGTACCCCACCAGGAAGTTCGTCAATTTGGAGCCCCTGGTGAAGCTGAAGAAGGTTCACCAGTTTGCATCTCCAGGTGAGATGGGACCTGACGAGATATGTGATATGTGATACGAGAGATGCTTCTCTTATGAGATATGCTACTTGGAGGCGTTTGAGCTGTGTTACGAGCTGGGTTCCAACACCTTTTCCTCTTCCAGCCGTTGTACATGTTTTTCCGTTCCTCCTTCCTTTGAAGCTTTGGGACACCGGCTTACATGTCGGCACTTGTATTGGATCCGGTATTCTCACCTTATCCTTGCAAGCGTAGAAAAGTATACACCGAACATTTCCCGATTCACCCCGATTCGGACTCCCTACAGCAGCAGCTCTTCTCGCAACTCTCTGGACGCCAGTCGGCTGATGTTGTTCTTCTTGGCTTTGCTGCCATTATCATCATACAATGCAGTATCCCTCCCGCTCCCCGGCCCTTTCCTTCCCTCTATGCACGAGTGGCTACGAGAATCCCCCCTTCCCTAAACCCCCCGCCCCCCACACACGCGTCGCGCCGTTAATACTATAATAATGCTATAATACAATAATAATAATAATAATAATAATAATAGTAATAATAATAGTAATAGTAATGCAACAAAAATAAAGTTTATGCAAAACAACAATACCTTTTTAGATAAAATGCAGTTTTGCGGGTTGTTTGCAAGTAGACACAAACACACACCTATCTCCCCTTTCCCCCCACAAACACATACGTTATTTCCACCCCCCGGGGGAACAGAGGATGTGGAGGTGGTTGCTCGCAGCATGAGGCGGTTCGACATTGACGGGATCGTTCTGGAGGAAACGGCCCTGGTCGGGGAGACCATTATAAAGGTATGTATGTATGTATGTATGTATGTATGTATGTATGTATGTATGTATGTATGTATGTATGTATGTGTAATGATTGGGCTGCGAGGTTTTGTTTCTGGAAGGGTTGTGTATGTGTATGCGTGTCGGACTTGATATAAGGGGCTGGGGCCAGGTATAAGGTATGCGAACGAAGTGGTGATGAGTGCGAGTGACTTGCAGGGCGACGTGGCATGGCCCAACGGAAATGGCCTCCGGTCGAGGACGACGGGGAGGGGGGAGGGAGGGACGGTCGAGGAGGACGAGGAAGGGGGGGACGAGGAAGGGGGAGGAATGAACAAATACTTTGCCATTTTTGTTTCCATGCGGACGTCTCCATGTGTTTGTGTGCGTATGTATGTGTATGGGGTGATAACGTAGGCCCCGTACTTCCACACGACTTCAACTCCTATCCAAAGAGATCATCCCCACGTCTTATCGTTCCGTACACCTCAAGCCCTCTTAACCCGTTAACCCCGGGGGCCGCCGGGTTCCCCCCGTATCCCCCGTCGCCAACCCCACATTACCCGTTTTTTTCGCTCCCTGTCCCGCTTACCCTTCTTCACCCCCTCCCATTTTCCCCTCGTCTTTTTTAGTGCGGCATGGCTGTGTTTCCCGGCCACGTGGGCCTCCTGATTCTGTACGCCAACTTCCTGATGGAGGTCAAGAGGGACGGACCCGCGGCCCGGACACAGCTGCAGCTGGCGCTCAAAGCGGGGCCAAGGTGAGGCCGTTGGCAGGGGGGTGGGAGTGGGGGTGAGGGTATAGGGGAGGGAGGGGGTTGATTGAAGGGGGCAGGCTGCCGGGGGGTGAGGAAAGAGGACGACATCTTTCTCCCCCCTCTTTTCGGCCTTAATCTCCCTCTCCTCTCCCCCTCTTTCCCTACACCCCTCCTCCCCGCCCGGCCCCCCTCTCGGCCCCCCCTCAGCCTGGTTCAGCGCTACCAGATCTTCAGCACCATCGAGAACAGCAAGCGGCTCAAGGACGGTCAGGAGGGGCAGCTGGACCTGCAGAGCTACGTGGAGTTCAAGAGGAACTACAGGCAAGGAGGAGAGGAGGAAAGGAGGGGGGAGAAGGGGGAAGGGGAGGGAAGGGAGGGAAGGGAGGGAAGGGGAGGGAAGGGGAGGGAAGGGGAGGGAAGGGGAGGGAAGGGGAGGGAAGGGGAGGGAAGGGGAGGGAAGGGGAGGGAAGGGGAGGGAAGGGATCAGGGGGGAAAATGTTAGAGAGAGTGGGAGATGTGGGTGTGTATGTGAGCATGCGAACTGTTCAGGTTATCGGAGGGGGGCAAGGCCGCCACCGCAAACACATCCTCTCACACCAGCTTAGTCCCCACACAGTCCCGCCTCTTTCCCGCCTCTTTCCTACCCGCCTCTCACCCTAATCCCCGCCCACCACACAGCCGCACACCCGCCCGGGCTCGACTCTTTCCCCCCCCATTGCTGTGTTTTCTCCTTGACTTGGCAAGCAATTCCTCCCTCCTCCCCTTTCCCAGTGGTTCGTCTTACCTCCCCTTCCCCCTCCCCCTTATTTACATGAAGGGCTGTGATCCGCATGCACAAGGCCGCACTGACACGTCAGCGCGAGTTCTGGCAGCTGCTGCAACGCAGCTCCGTACGGGTGTCGGCCATTGAGGCGCATGTACGGGAGATGGACGAGACAGCGGATACGGCACACCAAGTGTATAAGAGGTGGGTAGGGTTGTCTGGGGCTGGGCTGGGTGAGTGATGTGTGGGTGTGTAGCGCTGAGAAGAACGACATGTAGGGTAGATGAGGTGGGTGAGCGTGTGCTACCGACCTCTCCACCCCGGCAGGCACGCACACGCGTACACATGTACCATACACACATACGTTTCTACGCGTACACGTGTGTCGCTGTTACGGCAGTACGGCAGCCGGCTCCGGTGGTCTCTGATTCTTGTTCCATACCTTGGGACATTTCACTGTGATGGAGCCTTCCCTGTGTTTTGCCCCGTGTGAGTGTCTATGTGTGTCTGTGTCTCTGTGTGTCTGTATGTGTGTGTGTCTGTGTCTCTGTGTGTGTTTTGTTGGTTCCTTTAATGTGAGTGCCCCCGTTCTGGTCACCAAGGATTTCCCCCCTCCCTTCTCCCTCCCCCCTTCCCCCCCTCTCACACCCGTCCCCACCCCCCACCCCTTCAGGGTTCTCGAGCGCTACCCGCACAACGGCAAGCTGCTCCGCTGTTACGGCAAGTTCCTGGAAGACGTACGGAATGACCCGGTGGCGGCGGCTCGGGTTTACACGGAGGCGGCGCGGAACGGAGGCGGCGATGGGTTGCTTTCCCTGGATCTGCAGGTAGCTTGGGGGGAGGGGGTGGGTAATCGGGTAAAAAGGGGGGAATGGGGCAAGTAAACCTACAACCCGCCTATCCCCGCTTCCTCCCTCCTCGCCCTCCTGCGGCCCCATACACACACGATATATATACATACATACACATACTGCCATACCAGCACCTCCTCCCCTCCCCCTCATCTGTCCCCCTCACAAACCCAGATTACCGGCAGCGACAAGCCCGAGTTCCTAGCTTCCATGGACCTCCACGACGATGCGTGTATCGTTATCAATGCCGAGGGGAAGATACTCATGGTCAATGCGGTAAGAGGGGAGGTTTAAGGGGGGAGGGGAGGGGGCCAGGGGTTGGGCTGGGGGTTGTGGATGGCGGGAAAAGGTGTGTGTGTGGGATGTGGTATGTGTATGAGACGTGTATGAGTCAGGCAGGCACGCACGGGGGGCAACAGCAGCCAGACTAAATAACGTCACAACGGGGCCCAGAAGAGGCTTATGCGTGTGTGTGTATACGTGTGGGTTGTTCCGCGGCCCCCTCCGCCCCCCCGCGGCCGCTTTTCCCTCCTCCGCCCCCCCCCCAAACACATACACGCACATCCTCCCCCCGTGCGACTCCTAATTCGTCACATTTCCCGGCCCCCGGCCCGGCGCTTCTACTTCACCTCACGTGGTCGTTCCAATACGGCTTTCCTCCCCTTCGTCCTTGCCCTAGTTCCACACCGTAGGCGCTCTCACCTCCCACACGCCCTTCGCACGCTTCCCTCCTTCTTGTTCCCTTCCGTTTTCCTTCGTCAATCGTCTGTGCTCCGTCGTACCCCCTTTTTCCTTCCCTCCCTTCCCTCCCCCCTCCCCCCTCACGTACTCGTGGCGAGCTGTAGTGCGTTACACCGCTCCTGGGTTACCCAAAGACCGAATTGGAGGTACGGCAGGGCGGCGTGTGTGTATTTGTAAGGGGGTTAGGGGGGTGCGGTTGGGTGAGTGATCAGCGGGTGCATGGTGAGATGTGTTTGGAAATGCCCAAACTGGGTGGCTATCCCCCCACCCCGCATAAGGCCCAGGACGTCCTATCACGCATGTATGCAGGCAGCGCACACGCAACCCTTACGTCTCTCGGACCAGTTCGGGTAAAAAGGCAAGGATACAGATATGCGGCATCTGCCTTACAATCTTCAATGTAAAATAATCCAGCAACCTGTACGACTGGCTGTGACTGGAATTCCTGCCACTTCACACTACCTACTTGCTTGGTCAAAAGTGTGTACCATCCTCACCGGCTGTCCGGTCAACGTCTATTAACACACACACATACACACACATGCTCACCCTGACCTCCGCTCCCCCCCCCTCCCCCTCCATTCCTCCCACCACTTCCCGCCTCCTTGACTTTTTGCATTTTGCATAAGTTCCACCCCTCCCCTCCCCCTTCCTTCCGCCCTTTTCCCCCTTTTCCCCCTTTTCCCCCCCTCTCTTCACTCGTTCGTGGTTCGTCTTTCCCCCCCTCTCTTCTTTCCCCCGTCTTTCCCAGGGTGCCAACGTTTCCATAATCATGCCGCAGCCCTTCTCAGGCCGCCACCCCAGCTACCTCAGCCGATATGTGCAGGTGAGTGTGTGCGTGTGTGCGTGTGTGTACGGACGAGGCACGTTAACGGACGAGGTGGCAGCCGGTGGGTTGTGGCTGTGGTGGTGTGTG